CTCGATCTTGGGAAACGCAGCCGCTGGCCCGGTGAGAGGGAGGCGCGCGCAGAAAGACATCGAGGCGAACGGGCACCCCTTCTCGCACTTGGAGGTCAAGCCATTGAGCTTTTGGCAGCGGATTTGCGAGCACCATCACATCACGCACATCGTTGACTTCACGGCGGGGTCTGGCGCGTTGGCAATCGCAGCCTCTGGCGCGATGGAGTACGAGGGCGTGGCGGTCAACGAGGTGCACCGGGAGTGGCTCGACGCGACCTTGGACCGATGCGCACTGTACATGGCGGGGCATGACAAGAATTTCGCCCAGAAGCTCGGCGGCGACGACGGTTTCGCTGAGAAAGTAGAGAAGTACTTCGCGGGAACGATGATGGAGGTGCGGCGCTTGCTCGAGCCAATCGCGGACGAGGTGGACGGGGATGGGGGGAGCTCGGACTCAGCGGAGGAGTAGATCGCAGGCGCGCGATCGCGGGTGGGAAAACGACGCAGCCTCTGGCGCGCCACTGACGCGGCCTGGCCCTGACTCAGGTGTCGAAATTTTGCGCGCGTCGCGACTCCAGTGCGTGAGCAGTTCCGGGGTGACGCCTCTGGCGCGCGAGGAAGCGTGCAAGACCTTCCAGCGCGGCCAAGTTTTGATGGGTAGACCAGTCTCTTGCCCGGAGGTGCAGCTTCATACGCGCCCTTGGACGCGCGCGGCGCTGTTACGCAACAGAGGAAATGTTCCGACCCCGCACAGACGCAAGCCAATCCATTCAGCGCAGAAGGCCAGGCCGCCCGTCAAACCAGGCCAAACCACCCATAAGTAGACCAGACCCTGTCCACAAGTAGAGCAAAACCCGCCCAAAAGTAGACCATACCACCCATAAGTAGACCAGACCCCGCCCAAAAGTAGATCAGACCACGCCCAAAAGTAGATCAGACCACACACAAGGAGACCAGACCCCGCCCAAAAGGAGATCACACCCCGCCCAAAAGTAGATCAGACCACCCGCAAAGAGACCGGACCCCGTCCAAAAGTAGACCAGACTCGCCAGACAGTAGACCAGACCACCCTTGAGTAGACCAGACCCCGCCTTAAAGTAGGTCAGACCCCGCCCAAAAGTAGATCAGACCACCGACAAGGAGACCAGGCCCCGTCCAAAAGTAGACCAGACCCGCCCAACAGTAGACCAGACCACCCTTGAGTAGACCAGACCCCGCCTTAAAGTAGGTCAGACCACGCCCAGAAGTGCATCAGACCACCCACAAGGACGCCAGACCTCGCCCAAAAGTAGATCAGACCCCGCCCAATAGTAGATCAGACCACCCACAAGGAGACCAGACCCCGTTCGCAAGTAGAGCAGACCCCGCCCAAAAGTAGATCAGACCACCCACTAGTAGACCAAACCCTGTGCCCCAGTAGAGCAGGCCCGCCCAAAAGTACACCAGACCACACGCAAGTAGAGCAGACTCCGCCCAAAGTGCGTCACACCCCGTCCAGAAAGAAAAAGGGCCCGCTTCTGGAAACCAGGGAAGACAGCCCGGGCAGTTTCTGGAAACGAAAAAAGAAAACCAGGCCGTTTATGAAACCGAGAGAAGAAAACCGGGCCGTTTCTGGAAACGAGGAAAGGAAAAGGGCCGTTTCTGAAACCGAGGGAAGAAAACCGGGCCGTTTCTGGAAACGAGAAAACAAAACCGGCCCGTTTCTGGAAACGAGGAAAGAAAAAGGGCCGTTTCTGAAACCGAGGGAAGAAAACCGGGCCGTTTCTGGAAACGAGGAAAGAAAACCGGGCCGTTTCTGGAAACGAGGAAAGAAAAAGGGCCGTTTCTGAAACCGATGGAAGAAAACCGGGCCGTTTCTGGAAACGAAGCAAGAAAACCGGCCCGTTTCTGAAACCCAGGGAAGAAAACCAGACTGCTTCTGGAAACGAAGGAGGAAAGTAGCCCACTAGGCATGCTTTCATTTTCTCATCTCGGTTCTGAAACCGAGGGAAGAAAACATGTTCGGATTTGGCATGTTGGCGAGCATGTTGTGGGCCCTATATGACATGTAGTATAGAGCCCACAACATTCTCGCCAACATGCTAGACCCGAACATATTTTCTTCGCTCGGTTTTGCAACCGAGCGAAGAAAACATGTTCGGATTTCCGACATGTTTTCTTTCTTTGTGTGTGGGGGGGGGGGGACCACAAGTTTTCTTCTGTCGTTTCCAGAAACGGTAGGGTTTTCTTCCCTCGGTTTCAGAAACGGCCCTTTTTCTTTCCTCGTTTCCAGAAACGGCCCGGTTTTCTTTCCTCGTTTCCAGAAACGGCCCGGTTTTCTTCTCTCGGTTTCAGAAACGGCCCTTTTTCTTTCCTCGTTTCCAGAAACGGGCCGGTTTTGTTTTCTCGTTTCCAGAAACGGCCCGGTTTTCTTCCCTCGGTTTCAGAAACGGCCCTTTTTCTTTCCTCGTTTCCAGAAACGGGCCGGTTTTGTTTTCTCGTTTCCAGAAACGGCCCGGTTTTCTTCCCTCGGTTTCAGAAACGGCCTTTTTTCTTTCCTCGTTTCCAGAAACGGCCCGGTTTTCTTTTCGCGTTTCCAGAAACGGCCCGGTTTTCCTTCCTCGTTTCCAGAAACGGCCCGGTTATATTTTATGGTCGGGGTCTGATTTACTTTTGGGAGGGGTCTGGTCAACTTATGTGTGGTCTGGTCTACTTTTGTGCGGGCCTGCTCTACTTGTGGACAAGGTCTGGTCTACTAGTGCGTGGTCTGATCCGCTTCTTGGGCGGGGTCTGATCTACTTTTGGGTGGGGCATGATCTCCTTGCGGGTGGTCCGATCTACTTTTGGGCGGGGTCTGATCTAGTTTTGGGCGGGGTCTGGTCTACATGTGGGTGGTATGATATGCGTCTGGGCGGGTCTGCCCTATTTGTGGACCAGGTCTGGTCTACGTTTGGGTGGTCTGATCTACTTTTGGGCAGGTCTGGTCTACTTTTAGGCGGGGTCTGGTCTCCTTGCGGGTGGTCTGATCTACTTTTGGGCGGTGTCTGATCTACTTGCGGGCGGGATCTTGTCTCCATGTGGGTGGTCTGATCTACTTTTGGGCGAGGTCTGATCTACTTTTTGGGGGGGTCTGGTCTACGTATGGGTGGTCGGGTCTGCTGTTGGGCGGGTCTGCTCTACTTTAGGGCGGGATCTGGTCTCCTTGTGGGTGGTCTGATGTACTTTTGGGCGGGGTCTGATCTACTTTTGGGTGGGGTCTGATCTCCTTGCGGGTGGTTTGATCTGCAATTGGGCGGGTCTGCTCTACTTGTGGACGGGGTCTGGTCTCCTTGTGGGTGGTCTGATGTACTTTTGGGCGGGGTCTGGTCTCCGAGTGGGTGGTCTGATCTACTTTCGGGCGGGGTCTGATCTACTTTTGGGCGGGGTGTGGTCTATTTGCGGGTGGTCTGCTCTGCTTTTGGGCGGGTGTGCTGTACTTGTGGGCAGGGTCTGGTCTACGTATGGGTGGTCGGATTTATTTTTGGACGGGGTCTGGCCTACTTTGACGCGGGGTCTGGTCTCCTTGTGGGTTGTCTGATGTACTTTTGGGCGTGGTCTGATCTACTTTTTTGGGCGGGGTGTGATCTACTTTAGACCATGAATTTCCATGGCGTGTGTTTGTTACATCTTCTTAACTTGTTTGCTTTGCTACGACATGCTATCCCAAACCGTGCTCCGTGATCGTTTGAACGCTGTCCATATGTACGCATTCCCGTGGTATGCCATGCGTTGTTAAGCAATGCTGTGCCACGCCGTGCGCTGCTCTCCGGTGTGGTGCGATGCTATGCTATAGTATGCGACGCCATCCGACGGGATGCCATGCTGTAGCTCTGGTGTTCCCACCCAACAACCTCTCTGTGAGACACATGGTGGTCGTGTGTGAATGTTGTACACAGTACGGCTCTGGCGTACTTCTGGGCAGTGTCTGGACTTGGTGCGAGTGTGCTCTGTGCATTGCATTGCAACGCCTTGCGAACACATGGAACCTTGTGCGATGCGATGATATGCCGTGCTAGGCCACGCGATGCAGTGCTATGCGATCCCATGCTATGGCTCCTGTCGGGCCCTCCCCCCCGGGGTGGCTGGTCGCGTGGGAATGTCGGCGCGGAATCTCAGAGACTTCATAGAGCTGCGCGTGCCAGCCATGCAAGTTTGCGCGCGCCTGGCACGCGGAGGGACGGGGGCAGGGGTGGGGCGGAAAGTGGGAGGAGGAGGAGGTTTTGGACGAGGACGAGGACGAGGACGAAGAGGAGGGAGTGGAAGTGGGAGGAGGAGGAAGGAGTAGTAGAGCAGGAGGGAGTAGAAGACGAGAGGAAGTGGGACGAGGAGGAAGGAGTACAAGAGGTGGGAGAGAACAACCATGGAATATGGGGAGGCGGACCAATCGTCGCCACGGCTGGAGCATGCTGGAGCCACGGAGGCATCGTCGCCACGGCTGCCTTCGCCTCGAAACTCTGGCCAGAGCGTCGCCACGTCGCCAACGTCTCTAGGAGAGCAGTGCGCCCCCGGAGGGCCGTTCGTCGCCACGGCTGGACGCACCTCTGAAAATCGAGGCGGTTGGATCCTGGGAGGGCTCCAGGGAGCGGTTGTGAGTAAGACGGGGAGGAGGAAAAAGAGGCAGGGGGCAGCTGCTCTCCACAGCCGTCTCGGCCCAAGCCGCTCGTGCTGCAAGCGCCTCCAAGCCCTCTCGGCCCAGTCCACAGCCGCTCCAAGCCCTCTCGGCCGGGATGTCGGAGCATCCACTCGCTGGGCCCCAACCTTTGGCGGGAGACTTGACTGAACCCCAGCCTCTGGCGGGAAACTTGCGGGATTGGCGCCGCGGCAATCCTCTCCGAACCAGCGAGACCATTGCCTTTGGCAATACCAGCGCCAAGCCGACCCCCGGCGCACAACGGCCGTGGCACTACTACTCAGTCCAAATGCCTACCGGGGGAAGCCACAAGTGGCTCTTCGTTCCTTTCCTCGTGAGGGCCCCAGCCTCTGGCGGGACACCCCTTCCAATGGGAGCGCCGCAGGAGGCGCAGTTGGAAACCAGAGTGAGGGAGGGCGTTTTGATGGAGCACTACACCAACATCCACCGCCTACGCGCCCTCTTGCTGAGCCACCCGCTCGTCTCCACCGCCACGCCGCACAAGGTGGACAAGGCGCTCGACCCCAAGTGCTTCGACGAGGACGGTTGGGCCTATAAATATCACCAGTCCCCTTGGGACTTGTCAGTGACGCTCGCAGCCTCTGGCGCGAAAGTTCACCCTCGGATGGGCCACGAACCATATCAAGAAGCCGCTCGCGGCGATGTGGTGGTTGATGCAAGGGAAGGCCGCGACGGCGGATAACCTCGCCCACGCGGAGGCGATATTCTTGGATGTCGCCGAGGCCGCCCGCTCGTGGCCGCTCGGCTTCCCCCCTGAGGAGGGGGGGGCCGGGGCCAGTGCGAGCTCTTCCTCTGCCGGCGTCGCGCCCCAGCCTCCGGCGGCCACTGCGGCGCCGCCGCCGGCCAGGCCCCTGCCTCCGGCGGCAATTGCGGCGCCGCCGCCGGCCAGGCCCGCGCCTCCGGCGGCAACTGCGGCGCCGCCGACGGCCGGGCCCCAGCCTCTGGCGGGAGACGCGGCGCGGGCGCCGGCCCGCGCCAGCGAGCCCGCGCCGGAGAGGCCGCCGGCCCCCGGCGAGCCCGCGCCGCAGAGCCCGCCAGCCCCCAGCCAGCCCGCGCCGCAGAGCCCTCCGGCCCCGGACACCGCCTGTCCGGTGGAGCCTTTGGCGGGGGCGCCCGCCGCCGCGCCGGGGGCGTCCGCCGACGCCACCAGCGCGGCCTCCGCGCTGCTGCCAGCGGCGAGCGTCGATGCCGGTGCTGCCGCCTGCGACAAGCCTGCGGACAGCGCCCCAGGCGGCGCCGAGCGCCGCGACCACCTCGAGGATTTCCAGCTGGACGAGGCGATGAGGATGTCCGAGCAGGAATCGGCTGAAGTCCGCGATCTCGATTACAGCCCAGATCAGAAGTCGGACCCTCCGTCGGACGAGGAGGAGGAGGGCGTCGAGGCCGACCCAGCGGAGCCGCAGAGCAGGGTGCGTCGCCGCTCGAGGTCGCGAGCGGGGCCCGCGCGCCCGCGCGACCCAGCCTCTGGCGGGGCGGACGGCGAGATCGACCTCACCATGCACGTGTCCGCCAAGAGGCTGCAGCGGCTGACCGAGGACCAGAAGGAGCGGCTTCGCCAGATTGTGCGCACCAGCGATAGGCAGCTGCACTTCGGCGATTACTGGCAGAGCAGGCCGCGGGCGGGGGGTCCTCCTCGGGAGCCAGCGGCGACGGCCAGGGCTCGCGATCGGCATCGGGCGCTGCTCCTCCAGCACCTGCGGGCGTACGCGGACCCGATCCCAGACGCCGCAGAGTTCATCGCGGGAATCCCTTCCAAGAACGCCGGGCGCTGGGGCGTCAACGAGGATGTCGTGAAGGCCATCGCCATCAGGAAGGTCCACTACATGCATTTGCTGACCCACCAGATGGAGCACGACCGTCTGCTCTTCTGCGAGGAGTGGCCGGACCTCAGCCCAGCCTCTGGCGGGTGGTGGGTGCTCCAGGAAGAGGACTGGCTGCAGCTCAAGCAGGAATGGCGGGGGTTGTCTCCAGCGATGCGAAAGCCCAGTCGACCCCCAGCAACGTCCTCTCCGCCCATCCCCGCTTCCCCCCGCGCGGGAGGGGGGGGGGTCGGCGAACGAGGAGGGAGAGGACGAGGAGGGGGGGGGGGAGGGGAGAGGGGGCGAGGGCGAGGAGGGGGATTGGGGAGAGGGCGGCACCGACGGAGACACCCGTCGCCTCGATTGAGGACTTCCCCGGCGTGCGCGACACGCGCGACTACGTCAAGCACATTTTGACGCTGCACGATGGCGAGGCCAGGCTTGTGCGCACAGAGTGGAAGCCCTTCCCAGCCTCTGGCGGGGGCATCCTTCAACCTGCCTACTGGCATTACCAATTCGCGCGCAGCTGGGCGACTTATTCGTGGCTCTCCTCACGCAAAGGGCACTTGACCAACGAAGACTTGGAGTTGATCATGACACAGGACGGCGGCGAGACTGGCTTGATGAGGTGGAACCCAGCCTCTGGCGGGAACTGGCAGATCCGCACTGGCCAATTCATCGCGCTGGCCGAACTCTTCTGGTTCGGGAAAGACTGGTGCTCATGCTACGATATCTACCGCGCTTACCTGAGCCTGCCTGTCTGGATCCAGAAGCGCAAGCATCCTGTCTCGCAGAATGCGCCGGGAACCATGAGGCGCAACGCGAAAGCGTTTCACTACCAGGAGACCGGTATGTACGGTTTGCCCACGGCGCCTTGGAAACGCGGGCGGCGGTGAGCACGTGCCCTTGGCGCCTTCGGTGCCGATCCCAGCCTCTGGCGGGAATAGTCTCGCGCCCAGCTCTGGTGCCCGTGTCAGTTTTGGCGGAAGTGCAGATTCCGCGCCCAGCTCTGGTGCCCGTGTCAGTTTTGGCGAGAGTGCAGATTCCGCGCCCGAGCGACGCCGAAAAACGTTTGAAATGAGCTTCCCTCGTCGTCGTCGTCGTCGTCCTCCCCTCCGCCTCCCTGCTGCATTATTCCTCAGTCCCCCCCCCCTGCTCCCGATGCTTACTTATCTTTCTCCCTCGTGAGGGCCAGGGCGCAGCGAAACCCAGCCTCTGGCGGGATGGAGGCTCGACGTCCGGGGAATGCCCCGGGCAACCAGAACAGGACTGCCTGCCCCGTCCTCCGGGGGACTTCGCTCCTGCGTCGCTATCCCGTCCTCTGCCTGCCCCCGGCTCTACTTGTCCCCCTGGAGCCTCTTGGGGGTTCCTGGGGCCTCCTGGGGCTTCCTGAGGCTTCCCAGGAACTCCAGGGGCCTCCCGGGGCCTCCTGCGGCCTCCTGGGGCCGCCCGGGACCTCCTGCGCCCTCCTGCGGCCTCCTGCGGCCTCCGGGGCTTTCCTGGTAAGAACAACGCAGGACACGTGACAAAACAAGGTATACCGAACCAAAAAAAACAAACTCAAAGTAGATCACACCCGCCCAAAAGTAGATGAGACCCGCCCAAAAGTAGGTCAGACCACACGCAAGGAGACCATACCCCGTGGAAAAGTAGATCAGACCCCGCCCAAATGTAGATCAGACCACCCGCAAGGAGACCGCACCCCGTCCAAAAGTACACCAGACCCGCCCAAAAGTAGACCAGACCACCCAAAAGTAGACCAGACCCCGTGGAAAAGTAGATCAGACCCCGCCCAAAAGTAGACCAGACCCCGCCCAAAAGTAGATCAGACCCCGCCCAAAAGTAGATCAGACCGCCCGCAAGGAGACGTGACCCCACCCACAAGTAGATCATACCCCGCCCAGAAGTAGATCAGACCTCCCACAAGGAGACCAGACCCCGCCCAAAAGTAGATCAACCCCCAGCCAAAAGAAGATCGGCCCCTGCCCCCAAGTAGCGCAGACCCGCCCAAATGTAGACCAGACCCCACCCCAAAGTAGATCCAGCCCCGCCCACAAGTAGATCAGACCAGCCGCAAGGAGACCAGACCCCGTCCCAAAGGAGACCAGACCCCGCCCAAAAATAAATCAGACCTCCCACATGTGCACCAGACGCCGCCCAGAAGTGTACCAGCCCCACCCCAGAGGAAATCATACCGCCCATTATGAGGCCAGATATCGTCCCAAAGTAGACCAGTTACCGCCCAGTAGGGCAGATTAAATACACCCAAAGAAAGCACCTGCCCCCGCCCATAATTGTACTACACTGCTCTTCGCAGCATGCAACAAACGCTTGACGCCCCTCTCACTATCCGATTGTGCGTAGCTGCGTGGGCTCGAGCGCGCACTGGTCCAGCCCGCGCTCTTCGTGCGGGCTATCGGCCGCGCGGGGTGACGGAGCGCTCCGCGCGCTCTCGCAGCCTCTGGCGCGATGGGGCTCCGTTGCAAGACGTGCCTTGAGCGCGCCAGAGATGATGGGAGCTGCAAAAACCCGAAGTGCACAGCATACCGCGCTCCAGTGCCGAGAGGGCAGCACTGGAAAATTGCCCGGTTGAGTGGTGCCTTGGGCAAAGCGGCCGACAAAGTAGGCGCATACGTCGCCGGCGGGTTCATCTTCACTTTGCTACACAGACATGACATACGTGTCGGCGTAGCGAGCGGCGAGTATCTTCGGGCCGCAGCCTCTGGCGCGACTGCAGTGCGCTTGGAGCTTTTAGCGGTGGTCTATCTGTGCTACTGGCGGTGGTCGACGAGCTCACTTCTTGGACACTTGTCAAAGGCATTATCCCGTTTTCAGCACGCGGAGTCCACAGAGCGAGCTGAAATGTTACAGGTCGCGTGGACTTCGATGGAAGCGGACATGAAGGGGCGCCAGGTTCTCGGATACCGTGACGAGCACAAGGTTGAGTTAATGCGCCGCGATGAGAGGAGCAAGCTCGGGAACGCAGCCTCTGGCGCGACTTTTGCGTATCATCCATTCATGAACCCGGCAAGTCGCCGCACTGGTGGACAGGAGTTCGCGCTGTTGCTGCCTGATGTGCGGGATGGCAACCTCCGGGCAGCTTGCGAGGACCTCGCCAAGGTGTTCCACGTGAAACCCACGTTCAGGGACGCGGAGAGCGCCCTGAGGAAGCACGAGATAAAGCTTTGGGCCGGGGCCCACGCCAAATACAATCGAATCAGGTGGTACGGGTGCTGCAAATGTACCCCGCCAGCGGGCTCCCGACCGCGCGTCGGGCCCAAGTGGAGCCCGGCAAGGGTTTCCTTTGTCCCTCTTCTGCGTCGTGCCCCCCCCGCCCCATGTGGCCCCTCTCCCTCCCCCTCGCGTGTCCTCTTCCTCCTCGTTCGCTGCCCGCGTTGACCCTCCCCCCTCCTCCCTCTCCCTCGGTCAAAAGGATCACGCAGGGCCGCCGCCCGCCCGCGCGCGGCACCTGCAGCTCAGAGGCCAGCAACATATGTACACGTACGCGGTTAGCTTCCTGTGGAGTGCGTGGCAACGCGGACGTTCGTACAGGCAAGACCGCGGAGGGCGTACGTGTACATATGTTGTTGCTCGCCCAGCAGCTGCTTCCGGAACAGGGCTTCGTTTTTGATTCTCTTCTGGGAACCGTAGCGGAACATAGCCACCCGAACAGATACACCCGCGGCCCCGCGTCAGACGCGGGCCGCGCGGGCAGGTCGGCCCAATCCTTAGGGGGGGCGCCAGATATGAGATATTTGGGCGCGCTTGGCCCCGTCTTCCGTCTGCTGCGTGCCCCCGACGCAGTAATCCGGTAATCCTGTAGTCCCCCCCTCGCCCTCCCCCGCAAAGCGGATTGTTGTATTCCTGTCGTGTTCCCAAGGTTCATACGGTGGTTGTTCAAGGCGGAGGGCCTGGACGTGCCTGTCGACGAGGAAGATTGGCCCCTGCTCGCTGGCATGGGGTCCGGGGCCGAAGAGGGTTTGGACGACGCGGGAATTGATTCCTACGAATCGGCTGAGGTGGCCCGCGCAGCCTTGGCCGCTGTACTCGCAGCCCCTGGCGCGACGTCTCCGCAAGATGGCGTTGGTGCACCTCCCGAGTATATTTACGGACTCGACGACTTGGTTTGCTTCCTGTGCTTGTCCACAAACAAAGAAGCTGTTGCCCGCAAGGTGTTACCGCCGCCAGCGCTCCCGGTGTCCGTCGTTGAGGATTTGGGGATGGCTGCCCCCGTCGCAGCCTCTGGCGCGACAGCGTGCCCTGGCGAGACTCGTTGTTATGCGAGAATCACAACGAAAGCCACCGCGAAGCCAGCCATCGTCTCCATCTTGGCGTGGGTGTTCCAAGACATTTTGCGATGGGTGCGCGCGCCCGCCGCGGGGGCACTGTGTCAATGTTGCCGAGCTTGGCACGCTGGAGGCTTATTTCTGGCTTGCGCGCTGTCTGAGAGGAGGCGGTGCGTCGCAGACTCTGTCGCGAGCATCTTGTCCTTCGATGCGAAACCCGCCCAGGCATTGCTTCAAGCAGGGGCTTCGAGGAGTGATATTCTCCGCGCCTGGGCGCGCGCGTGGGACTTGCTCGACGGGCTCCCCCCGCGTGCCTGTTTGGGCTTCGACGAGCGATTGTTGTCCATGGCACTAGTCCGCATGGGCGTCAAGGAACACCTTCGGGGTGACGCGAAGGACGCGGTTGCCCAGATTTTCTTGGACGCAGGCGGGGAGCATTCGCTTGCGAGGACAGCGTCGTTCGCAGAGGTGGAGAAAGGGCAGCTTGCAGAGATCGAGTGCCATGTGTTGATGTTGGCGCACAGCGATTCTGGCCTCTGGCGATAATTCGCAGCCTCTGGCGCGAACCAGCATGGGGGGCGGCCGTTGGGGCGGCTGCTGGGGGGCGATCAGCATTGCCTGATCATGTCTGCTGCAATTGCGCGGGCTCGAGCAGCGGCGGCATGTGTAGGGCCGCTTTCAAGAGCTGGGCGTCGGCAAACGCAGCGCATGCTCGAACCTGCCAGGGAAAACTGAACCCGGTCAGTTTCTCACAGTGCTTGTTTCTTGCGTCGCACTTCTGCTGGATACGTTTATCGGAGACGGAGCGAGAAGCCATTTCTGCTATTATTATTACAACTATCACCACCACAATTACTACTAGTAGTACAATTGTTTCCGCTTCGCGAATCCCCGCCAGTCCATTCAGAAGCCCTTCCCATGAGAGCTGACGGGCAATGGAAAAAAGAAACACATATAGTGAAACAGAGCGGACAAGGAGAGGAGGGGGAGGAGGGTGTCGAGCCATCTTGGAGGCTATCTTGGAACACAGGAGGCTTTCTTGGAGCTATGGGGCACTTTTGGGGGTCTCAGGGATCTCTCGGCCCTCTTTTGGGGCATCTTGGGGCCCCCTTGGGGCTCTATGGGTCCTCTTGGGGCTCTTTTGGGGCATCTTGGGGCCCTCTTGGGTTTTTTTTTTTTGGGGGGGGGGGTCTTGGGGTCCTCTCGGGGCTCTTTTGGGGCATCTTGGGGCCCTCTTGGGGCTCTTTAGGGGTCTTGGGGCCCTCTTGGGGCTCTTTTGGGGCGTCTTGGGGCGGCGCTCCTGGGGCCTCCTTGGGGCTCTCTTGGGCCTCTCTTGGGGCCTTCTTGGGGGCTATGGAGCGCCTCCTGGGGCCATCTTGGAGGCCATCGATCAAAAAGGAGGGGGGTCCCCGATTTGTCTCCCCCCTTGGGGGGCCACCGGAATCGCATCTTGGGGCGCTCTTGGGGCCCTCTTGGGCCGCTCTTGGGCGCTCTTGGGGCCGTCTGAGGGCCTCTTGGGCCGCTCTTGGAGCTCTCTTGGGCCATATTGGCGCCATCTTGAGGCCTCAAAAGCGCAGCGGAGGCGACAGGGCGAGAAGGCAAACATCATTGATTTTCTTCAGGTGTTTGAAGGAAATTGCTTTCTCGGGGAGGTCCTGACGGGTCTCCAAAAGCACCTGGGACCGTCTTGTGGTCCTCTTGGGGCCTCTTGGAGGCATGTTGTTAGCTATCTTGGGCCATGTTGGGCTGTCTCGACCGATATTGAAGGCCATCTTGGGCTCTCTGAGGCCCTCTTGGGGCCATCTTGGGCCGAAAAGGACCCCCTGACACATCGCGACCGCCCCCGTCCAAGTCCAGGGGAGGGGGTATGGGGGAGGGGTAAACCCCTCCCGAAGGGGAAAAGGGGGTTTTGGAAGAGGGA